GTGGTTATGAATGCCGGGAATGAGGGGTTTGTATGTGTGTGTGTGTCTGTGTGCATTTGTATATGTGTGCTTGTGTGCGTGTGTGTGTGCATGTATGTGTGTGTGTGTGTGTGCATATGTGTGTGTTTGTCGAAGGGTGATGAGGGGGGTGATAACATGGCTGGAAACAAGCAAAACCTGAATTAAGTAAACGAACAGATGGACGATGGGGCATTAACATAGATCAACAAAAAACAGGGGTACGGAACGCTCAGCCGTTTGGGGAGCAGGGCTCTCAAGGGTAAAGTGGGCAGAATAAGTAGGCGACAGGGTGTCTGGGGGGTGGGGGGGGTCCCGCCGCCACCAGATGAACCGGGGGTGTCGAAAACCACCCAAAACACAAATTTTCAAGCAGCTTATTAACAAACGGCGAGGGACAGAAAAACAAAACATTCACGCCTGCTTTAAATGCAATGCCATTAACAATCCCGCAATTAATTAGCGACAAATTACCTTGTGTTGATTATTTGCGTCGGGCAGGGGAGAGGAGCGGGCAGGGGTGGCGATCGTTTGTTTTGGCTTGAATGGGCTGTTTTTCGCAGACGACGAGGATGGGGAGTGGTGACGACAGACTGACTAGACTGACTTCTCCTGTACTGCGTGTCTGAACCTCTGGAAGAGAGACTGAGAACGAGAATCACTGAGGAGGATGCGGGTTAGTTAAAGATGGGAGGAAAAGAGAAGGACATTTCCTCTGGTGCTATATTACCAATACAGACAGTGTATCAGCCTGTCAAATCTGCCTAGCAACGACATAGCGAGCAATCAGCACGACTACATGCAGAGGGATTGTAGAGGCACCAGACAGTTAACACTGTGACTGTATGTACGCCGTCTTCCCTCTCTGCTACCCAAACAACGCTTTCTCTATATGATGACACCGTCTGTGTACATACGATGACAGGATTCAGAAGCGAACCGTCTCTGTGCCAAACGACCATGGCACCATGCCACGTTAAAGCAATATGTTGTGAATACGGTGTTGCACGCATTGATGCGGTATACGAGTCCCTATAGACCCAACTCGCTGTTACACTTGGCATGAGTACCAATGTTGACTCAGCACTGGAGGGAAAAGGTGTGGTTCGGACAGTTCCCCTTCCTGAACGCCACCCTCAGCTCAACATTAGTGCTCAAGACGCCATCACTCACTCTCCCATTGCACTGTTTCTCGTGACAGACTGACTGTTAACAAAATCAAGATTTAGTTCTGGGTTACCCAAGATTATCCATTGCATTGATTTATTTACACAACTATCAATTTCAATGCTTTATTTGTGACAAAGAAGTCATTGCATTGCCAAATCAACAATGTTGAACTATCTGACTAAATCCCTTCCGCTACAAAGGCACAGATAGTCAACCACAGACCACACACCCTGTCAAGAAAAATCGGAAACCTTTTTGAACCCCTGCCAAATATGCATGTCGACGTCAGCTGCCCGCAGCCTCCAGCTTATGTACATTAGACTGTGGGATTGTCTCATTAATGCAGACCACCCAGTGTTTCTCAGTGTCACACCATGTTGACTCCCCTGGTGCCGTGTAACAAACAACACTGGCACTGCAGCAACATGGGGGCATCGCCCTGACACACACAGCGGAGGAGACACACCCATACAAAAAGGAGACACACACAGCACGCACACACACACACACACACACAGCGCCAGAGAGAACTGTCTGGGACACAAGACTAGGGCTCCCTAGAGCGTTATAAGCTCAATGGGGTTTCTTGCTCCGTCTGACAAGGGTCGCAGATACATGGTGGAAAAACAATCTACAGCTGTTTGATTACTAACTAACAAGTATGGCGCTACACTGCCCAGCCTCTCGCGAAACACACACACACACAAACAATCCATCGGGTCTCTGCGCCTGAAAAGTTTCACTGAATGGCAAATTAATTTAATTACACAACGGTGCTTTGGCAAATAAAAGGGAGGGGAGGAGGGAGTGTGTTTAGGAACTGAGTGAACGCTCTGCTGCTATGGATCTGAGAGCAGCACATTTCTCTCTCCCTCTGTCTCTAAGGGATACGCCGGCGGCACTGTGTTGGAAAGCGTGTGAGAGATAATGAGCTGCTCTTTACCTGGCAGTAGCAGACAGTGTGAAATCCTATATGTACTAGCCAGAGGAAAGGCCGTGAGAGAGGGATAGAGAGCGCCCGCCTGGCTGGCTGGTTCAGAGAAAAAGGTGAGAGGAGAAAGAGCCAAGGCGGGCACCATTTTGAGTGCAGCGACCTCGACGTCTCGCCATTTTACAAGAGAAGAGAAGGGGCATGAAAAGTCCCTGACCCACACACACTTCTAAACAAAAGCATTTGCATACCAACACAATAAGCTTCGCTGTTCACTGCCAAGAGGATTCCGTTAATTAGCCAACAGACGACTTGGGTTGAGGACAGAATGTTTTCAAGGCGTCCTTTAATGAGGGTGGTGGAGTGGTTGAGATAACTACTAAGTTGTGCTGCGTTCATAACAAGTGGGGAACTAATTGTAAACTGGGAGCAACGAGTTGTGTGTGTTCTCGTGCTTTGAACTCGTTGAGAATGCCATTTGGCTAATGGCAAACAAGCTTCATCAACTATAAACGAAAAGTACAGCTATCGTGCTCGTAAACAATTTATAGTGTTCAAATACCGTATAAATAGATTGTCATTTATTTCATAAATAATGTTTTGTTGCTCCATTTAACTGCTGAAAATGCTGTTATCCAGGTCATTTCCTTAGTAGGTGACGTCAGGTCTCAGCATGTGGGAGAAGTTGGAGCTCAGAGATGAGACAAGTTTAGTAATAATAATTACGAGTTGGAGGGGCATTCAAGTGGATTTTTCCAGGTCGTATGCTCATATTTGCGAATTTACGAGATGTTATAAACGCAGCATTAGGTACCATTCTGGTATAAGTACCAATATATCTAGGATATGGCAGGTGTCATTCGAATATACAACATTTCTCTGTTCATCATTAGCCTAGTGTTACACAGCCAGCATGCCTTACTAACTTGAACACAGTTGTGTATAACCCATCAATCACCTCTTATCCTTAGTAGTAGTCAGCATCTGCATCAACGTCACTAAAGCAGATGATTAGGCTTCTTCCGTTTTCAGGCAGGTCTTCCAGAAGCCTGGGGGGTGGCAGGGAAAGGCAGAGAGGGGAAAGTGTGAGAGACTGACCTCTTCAACTGACCAGCTAGTTAAACATGCCAACAAGGATTTAGGAACTGATGGTACTTGGCAGCTGAGAAACGGTGACAGGAGAGGTATGAATGAGTGTACCCAGTGTTGCGTGACCAAGGTGTCATGCATGAAGCTCCTGTTTGAAGCTGGACATGGCCTGTCTTGAGTTAGTTGCTATATTCCCACTCTCCCTGTCTGGCGTTGACAATTGAAGAGTTGTCAGACCTGCAATTCCACTAGGCTACTGTGAAATGACTAAATCCGTTCTAGAAAACAAAAAGTAGCCTAATGTCTTCTGTTGTAGCCTAGACCTACACTTGTTTGCCTTGGAACATTTTGGAATAACGTTGTAGCTTCTCTAGCGTAGTTTATTATCCAACATTGTTTATTAGGCCTATAAAAGGCAGTTAAATACATTGACCACCTTCCAATACTAGAATGTTTCCATTAATTAAATTCCCCAAAGATGTGACTGATGTTTACTTGCAACGGTACAACTACATCATCACCAAACTAAAAATATTAAAAGTTGTTTACTTTTTCATTGCAATTTGGTAGGCATATTTTACCCCCATCAGCCCACTTCCAGTACCATATTGTTTGATTGTTTTCGAAATACCTTGTAACTTGGTTCTCCTCGTTATGACTTTGCAAAAATACTCCGTTAGGACAATAAAACACAAACTTCAAAGGCAAACGCGACACAAATGGTAAAGCTTTGGTAAAAAGCCTTTCTGGTAGTTTTGGAAATGAACATGTGAACTTGTTTTGCAGGGTTTAAGACATGCCAAATTGCGCATGAGGAAAGGGGCTTTTGTGATTGAATGAGTGAGGTCAATAATTGGCAATCAAGACAGAATAAGTGTAAACAATAAAATAGTATTTATTTTTTTGAGATAGCATATCAAAGATAAATCTTAATCTATCATACCATAAATTACACAACAATAAACATTGTATTAACTTTTGTCATTTTTTATGTAACTACATTGATGAATTAATAGTACTCTTGGTTTTGACCTCTGTCCATGAGTTTTTGGCTGAGTTAAGAATTGTGTTTGGCTGAATGGCACATTTATGAACGTTTTTGGAATAAATGTTTAGTAGGGAAGATAAGGGAGTTATACATTGACTACACCGGGAATGCAAAACTGTCGGGGAACTAAATATTATTTCAAGCTGTGTATGTTGGCTACATATTCAACCTACCTGTAGTCCTATTCTGTATCATGTCCAAAAAGACAGAACATAAATCTAGATTCATACAATTCCCTATAAATACAGGGGAGACAAAGTATGAGGGCAAGGTAATACTGCTAAATACAACCAAAGACCCCTTGATTCGGACCCCTTGATTTGGTCAAAGTCTACGCCCACAGACATTAGTTTCTTCTCGGTAGTGAACGACAGAGCCATGTTTTGTGAAGCTTGCATTCAATTGCCCCTCCCTGTTGCACACAATCTTCCATTCTCCTGTTACAAGGGGATTTACGGCTGATTTCAGATTAAATAGTCAACCCTGTGATGGTCAACCCTGCTACTTGATTTGGCATTTAATAGGCACTTACTATAGTCATTTTTTTATTTAACCTTTTGAGATGGGGAAAACGTGTTTTTAAATTAAGTTGAACATCTGCTCTTTATGACAGAATGTTAAAATTAGGTGAAATAAAACTCTTCACCAAGTTACACTACCCAAAAGGGTCTCATTTCGTGGAACAACCCATATGTGCGTGTGTGTGTGTGTTTCTGGGGTGGTTAGATGTCTACATCTCATGGGTCAGAACTGTGCTGTCACTGCGTTGGCCTGCTGTGGCTGTGGGTTGACCAATGTGTTGAGTGGCTGGCTGTTGGGCTGGGCGTTGGTCTCATTTAGCCTGTGTACACAGTACACCTCGTAGTGGATGCTACTGGTGATGTTGGTGATGTTCTGCATGTGGGTCCTGACAGAGCGGAAACGAAGATGGGATTTAGTCATAAATGTTTCCCAGAGAAACATCAACCCACTGGGCACACTGGTTGAATTAACATTGTTTCAACGTCATTTGTCAACCTATTGTGACATGGAATCTACGTGGAAAATACCTCTGGATTTGCAAAAAGTCGACCAGTACTGTTTTCATCTAATTTCAACCAGCATTGTAAACATTGAAATTAGGGTGAAAACTTCAATTGAAACACAATTACTTAACCTACTAACAGGTTGTTGCATCAATATTTCAACATAGTCATCAGAACTATGTATACATTGAAATTGCGTTAAATTCCACGTAGAAAAGTACAAATCCTTTTCATCCTATATTCAATATATTTTGGGTGGTTTGAAATTATGTTGAATTTCATATTTGATTCGACATTTTATTTGACCTTGTTTCAATGTTGATAGTAAAACGGTATGTTTGAATCAACATAGTTTCAAGGTCATGCCATCAACCTAAATAGAGGTACAGTATATTGAAATAAAATGTGAAGCCACAGTCCAATGATTCCTGCCTGAACAGTGACTCCTACTGGTATATGATAGGTAATGCACTTAAGTGAGAACGAGTCTACCATCCAGAGGCCTACCTCTATGTACCTTGCTTAGCTTTGGAAACAAGCTGTGTTTGTTTTAGGCTGAGCTATCATGTCATAACATTTAGACATTGATCAGCTTCCATACTCATTTGCGTAGACTACCTAAATAACATTGAATAGTTGAAAGTAGCCTAACGCTAACTTTTCTTACACAAGCTGTATGTGAAAGTACATTTGGAGTGAGGTTGGGTTTATGTAGGCTATTGACATCTGATTTGCCCAAAGGTATACTATCATTCATCCATGGTTGATTGGGAACTTTGGAAGTTATCAGTTATCCTTAGCCCTATGAATAGGATGCCATATTCATGATATTAAAACTAGAATCCGCAGTTGAAACCACAACAAAGCCACAACCCTGCCTTTGTTTTGATTAAAAGCTGAGGGATGGGCCTCCAGAAATGTAAACATTAAATTCATAGACCGAGCTATGGCTGAAAGGACGGACCATCCATGATATCGAAATTATAGTTTTAACCATGTTTTGAGGCTATACAGTGCTTGCTTAAATTTACATTGTTTACAAACATTGGAGTAAAACAATATTGTATTTAGGGTTTTGATGGAGTACAACAGTTGAACTAAGCTCATGAGGCATTTATAAGTTATATTCTTCAAGAATCAATTGGTTTATACAATTAATTTATAAGTCAAAAAATTGACTAAGCAACTGCAGATTGCCTCTTTAATAATACACTTTTACCTTTAGATAGTATTTTATGTGCCTTCAGAAAGTATTCACCCCCCTTGACTTTTTCTTATGATGGAGGTGCAGACGTGCCCAGCAGCTCTCTTCCTCTCACTCGCTCGCTCGCTCCCGCCATCCATCCCTCTCCCACTGCCTGAGCACAACGCCTGGCCAGGGGGCAACCACATTTCTCACATCCATGCTCCCACAAACACACCTTTGTCTAAAGTTAAATTAAAGTCCATGGGTGTTTTAACCCCATGGAGTCTAAAGCCTTGGGGCAAAACAGATAATAAAAAATGTAATCAGAAGGAAGTATGTTTTGAAGCGTCTGTCCTATATTTTTTTGCCATATTTAACCCTTTTTTTGGGTACAAAAACGACTTCCATACACAGACGACTCTAGTGAAGCTTGTGGGCGTCGTAGAGCAAAACAGCATGTTTGTTAGAGTCTCAGCTTTTGATAGTGGGGTCATATGAGTTTGTGGCTCAGACCGAAGTTGGCACACTGTCGGTACCGACTTCAGACTAGTCCCGTGAAGCTTGTGGGGGTCGTAGAGCAAACAAAAGCCCAAACTGCTCGGACTCTGCAGACGTTTCAGTGAGAAAATCGATTTTCGGGATGTCTCCTGGTCTGACAAACACCGCTGTAGCTCTGCCACCTTCCAGAGCAGATGTGGAAGGCCGATTGAGAAGCAGACCTCTAGATTAACCTTTACGAGATCGGTGTCCCATATATGGGATGGTTGAGCTAACGTGCGCTAATGTGATTAGCATGACTGTTGTAAGTAACAGCAAACTTTCCAGGATATAGACATGTCTTATATGGGCAGAAAGCTTACATTCTTGTTAATCTAACTGCACTGTCCAATTTACAGTAGCTATTACAGTGAAAAAATATCATGCTATTGTTTGAGGAGAATGCACAACAAAAAACTTATCACGGCAACTGGTTTGATACATTCACCTCTGAAGGTAAATAATGTACTTACATTCAATAATCTTGCTCTGATTCGTCATCCTATGGGTCCCAGAGATAAAATCTAGCATAGTTTTGTTTGATAAAATCAATTTTTACATTCAAATGTAGGAACTGGGTTCTACAGTTTGAACCCTTGCTGTCTCTGGCTCCACACCCACCCCGCCCGGCCATCTAGATGTGTGAAAGTTAGTGTATAAGCTAATGATACATCATGTATGACATTCCTGGGAGTGTGTAAACTTACATTTTGTATTACCATATCATTTTTGCATGTTCTCTATAGTTATGTACTTGAAAATGTATCAATTTAGATTTTGCAGTGTGTGTGCAAAGTTTCAGATTGACCAATTCGGCACATTTGGGCAGACTTGATACAAAATAGTCCAGTATTGCAATGCTTCACTGGATCAATCTGAAACTTTGCACACACAATGCTGCCATCTAGTGGACAAAATCTAAATTGCGCCTAAACTGCAATATTATATTGTGGCCTTTCTCTTTTTGTTTATATTATCTTTTACCAGATCTAATGTGTTATATTCTCCTACATTCATTTCACATTTCCACAAACTTCAAAGTGTTTCCTTTCAAATGGTATCAAGAATATGTATATCCTTGCTTCAGGTCCTGAACTACAGGCAGTTAGATTTGGGTATATCATTTTAGGTGAAAATTGAAAAAAAGGGTCCTATCCTTAAGAGGTTAAATATACAGATTCTTCTTCTTATGCTAATTAGATTGAAGAGCAGGCGCGTCAATCGACTATGGGGTAGGAGACGTTGATAGTTCAAGAGCAGGACCAAAGTACTAGAACACTAGAAAACTATTTATGCTAAGCTCACTGGTTGGTTGGTCCTTTGAACAGACCTAACAGCAACAGAGGTCCAGAATAATATAGCTGCTCTTCAGCCGTCTGTCTACAAGTGTGGAGTGATGACAGGAGCATTCACCAAGGGCCAAGAGGGGCCCTGGAGGGGCCAGGTGCAATCTGGGAAAGAGACAGTCGGTCCTCCAGTAAATAGGAGCTTTGACACCCCCCCCCCCCCCCCCCCCCTCTTTTCCTCCTCCTCCTGTTTGTTCTTCCCATCATCACCTCCCCCTCTGCCCCCCTATTCCCCCCCAGGGACGACCCCCAACTTGGCAATAAAAATGCTCAGCGTAGTCCAAAAAACGTAAACACTATGATAGTTTGTGTGTGTGAGTGCACGCATGCTCTCAACTACAGTATAGTACACCTGTGTCTGTCATAAACATAAAAAATCAGTAGATGGTGATAGCACTGACGTCATCCACATATTCCTATGGAAAACTCCCGATGGCGCATGAAGCCGGAAGTATTTTAATTTGAAGTGTGCAATATTGCTGAATGGGACTGAATGGCAGCAACAACAAAAATCGCTAAGGATCATGGTGAAAGTGACCGTAACTAGCAAAGGATCATGGTCGATGTAGTCATTTTCATCCTGCCTGAGAGAGTCAACTATAATGTCTATGGCATGAGGGCGCAAGCTTCCTTGTGTGGACAAACGTAGTAGTCAGAATGGATCACTACTTTAAAAAATATCTCGATTTGTAGCGAACTTGAAAATAATTCACCGTGGGGATCGAACTAGATCATAATAAACACACTTTAAAGGCCAAAATGACGTAAATTTGTTTTTTTTTTTTTTTTGGGGGGGGGGGGGCGTTCTAGCAATTGTATTTTACATAGGCGTTCTGGGGCAGAGCAGGGCTTTTGGCACCGCTAGGTTGCTATGCAGTAGCCGACCAGCAGAGCTCGTGACTTCACATTCCAGACCGGACACTGGGGGCCTGGTGTCTGTGCACAATTTCCCCGATTGTGACCCGGAATCAGACGGTTCGGTAAATCGTCCTCCTCGCGTCTATTACTCCTAAATCTGTTTAGTCACAGACAGACCAGAGAAACGTGGATATGAGTTAGACGACAGATGTTTAAATCAGTTGGCTGGGATTTAAACATGTATTGGCAGCAGTAACATAAGTACAGTGAGGGAAAAAAGTATTTGATCCCCTGCTGATTTTGTACGTTTGCCAACTGACAAAGACATGATCAGTCTATAATTTTAATGGTAGGTTTATTTGAACAGTGAGAGACAGAATAACAACAACAAAATCCAGAAAAACGCATGTCAAAAATTTTATAAATTGATTTTCATTTTAATGAGGGAAATAAGTATTTGACCCCTCTGCAAAACATGACTTAGTACTTGGTGGTAAAACCCTTGTTGGCAATCACAGAGGTCAGAAGTTTCTTGTAGTTGGCCACCAGGTTTGCACACATCTCAGGAGGTATTTTGTCCCACTCCTCTTTGTAGATCTTCTCCAAGTCATTAAGGTTTTGAGGCTGACGTTTGGCAACTCGAACCTTCAGCTCGCTCCACAGATTTTCTATGGGATTAAGGTCTGGAGACTGGCTAGGCCACTCCAGGACCTTAATGTGCTTTTCTTGAGCCACTCCTTTGTTGCCTTGGCCATGTGTTTTGGGTCATTGTCATGCTGGAATACCCACCCACGACCCATTTTCAATGCCCTGGCTGAGGGAAGGAGGTTCTCACCCAAGATTTGACGGTACATGGGCCCGTCCATCGTATCTTTGATGCGGTGAAGTTGTCCTGTCCCCTTAGCAGAAAAACACCCCCAAAGCATAATGTTTCCACCTCCATGTTTGACGGTGGGGATGGTGTTCTTGGGGTCATAGGCAGCATTCCTCCTCCTCCAAACACGGCGAGTTGAGTTGATGCCAAAGAGCTCCATTTTGGTCTCATCTGACCACAACACTTTCATCCAGTTCTCCTCTGAATCATTCAGATGTTCATTGGCAAACTTCAGACGGGCCTGTATATGTGCTTTCTTGAGCAGGGGGACCTTGCGGGCGCTGAAGGATTTCAGTCCTTCACGGCGTAGTGTGTTACCAATTGTTTTCTTGGTGACTATGGTCCCAGCTGCCTTGAGATCATTGACAAGATCCTCCTGTGTAGTTCTGGGCTGATTCCTCACCTTTCTCATGATCATTGCAACTCCACGAGGTGAGAGCTTGCATGGAGCCCCAGGCCGAGGGAGATTGAAAGTTATTTTTTGTTTCTTCCATTTGCGAATAATCGCACCAACTGTTGTCACCTTCTCACCAAGCTGCTTGGCGATGGTCTTGTAGCCCATCCCAGCCTTGTGTAGGTCTACAATCTTGTCCCTGACATCCTCGGAGAGCTCTTTGGTCTTGGCCATGGTGGAGAGTTTGGAATCTGATTGATTGATTGCTTCTGTGGACAGGTGTCTTTTATACAGGTAACAAACTGGGATTAGGAGCACTCCCTTCAAGAGTGTGTTCCTAATCTCAGCTCGTTACCTGTATAAAAGACACCTGGGAGCCAGAAATCTTTCTGATTGAGAGGGGGTCAAATACTTATTTCCCTCATTAAAATGCAAATCAATTTATAACATTTTTAACATGCGTTTTTCTGGATTTTTTTGTTGTTATTCTGTCTCTCACTGTTCAAATAAACCTACCATTAAAATTATAGACTGATCATTTCTTTGTCAGTGGGCAAACATACAAAATCAGCAGGGGATCAAATACTTTTTTCCCTCACTGTATGTATGGTTGAGCTGCTGTACTGTGCAGTCCAGTCAGGCAAATCTGCTTCAACCCATTTTACATGATTCATTTGACAGGGATAGTAATGGTTGTGTGTGTGTTGAATTACCTTCTATGGTGCCCCACTTTGTTTTTCTGCCCAGAAGCTTCTTTCCATTGACCTGGTACTCCTGGTCGCTCCCCACCACAGCAAATGGGATCATCTCCTATGGCAAACACAACACATGGTTTAAGGCCAACAATGCTTTATAATGAATCCATGCGTTGGTCGGTCAGTGGTGTTTGTGAGTGTGTGCGTATTTACAACACTGTAAACTCCCCGTGATCTTCTCATTGATCCATCCTGTCATCAGCATCCTCATCAACCTCCTTCTGAAGGTAGACGTCGATCCCGTTGGCTTGCAACTCTTCCCTGATCTATACACACACAGAAACACATCAGAATCTAACACCAGGTTGCAGTGTTACATCAATGTACTGTAGAACAGCAGTCAGGGCAAAGCCCAGGTCTGAAACAATGGCTGTTTCCACCTCATATCATCCACCAAGTCATCTAGTCCTGGAGGTGGAGGAGTGTGTCCTGCCCAGTACATCACACACCAAAGCCTTTCACTCACCACCGGGGGAAAGACCGGGGAAGGGAGGCTGTGTCACATCATAACAATTATTGATGTAGATTTCCAGATACCCTGATTGTTTGGATCAGTATAAGGTCACCATGATTGAAAAAATATACAAGTATTTAATCTCAGAGAAAATGAACTGATTGACTACATTTCGACCATACTGTAGCTCTCTCGGATTCCACCATAAATACTCCATCATGCTGTTAAGGCTGGTGTTAACCTTAAACAATATATAATGTTCTCTAACATGGAGACTTAATGTGGAGGTTAACAACCATTAATCAAATATACAACCAGACACAAAATGGCCGCCTTCTTTATAATGACTGGAACACAGACAGGCTTCTTCTGCCAGCGGTGATGGCCTTTAAATAAATGACCGTTCTGCTCACAATTACTACTTTGACAGTTTCCACTTGGTCGATGATCAAACAGATTTTCTACATTTCTCTGTTTATACTTCTTGGAAAGTTTAAATGTGTAACTTTTTAAACTTTCTCAGCCTTAGGCCTACATTATAGGATGAACTGTAAACTGACTAAATTTTTTAAAGCTACAACAGAGCATGCACGCACACACTGTTGGACACAGATGGTCAAACTTTAATAAAAAGCTCTCTTGTTCCCTTTGCATGCATGACAACTGCTGCAGGGAACAGAGAACAAGAAAAAAACGTCAAAAAAACATTAAGATCACAATCCCAGGGTCGTACATTGCCCAGCCCATGCAGCCAACCAAAACAAGCAGGGTTACAAGCCCCAGAGCTTCCACCTCGCTCTGCCTTGTTCTCATTGGCTGTTGTTGGGGGAAACGGTAGCCAAGTTGCCCAGCGTGTTTCCTCCTCCAGAATTAATAAAGCTGTGTCGCAGGATGCCAGAGAGAGGGAGACTAGCGTCCCTCGAGAGAGTGTGTGTGCGTGTACATGTGCATGTTCCTTTTCTTGTGTGTGTGTGTTTGTGTACATGTTCTTTTTCTTCTCCCAGGCTGACCACTGGCCAACAGAAACAGAGGAACAGAGGGGGGTGCAGAGGCCTCTTTAGACTGAGCCAAGCAGGTAGTTCGGGCCTGTGTATCCTGGTATGGTGTCGAGTTAAAGTGATAACAGGAAGAGAAAGCAGCATTTGAGAATTCCATTGAATTCTAAATCATTTAAACTTCCATGTAAATCAGCAGAGGGCCTCAAGTCTCTGTATCATAAGCATGAGTCAATCATCAACAGAAAGGGTTATGCTTTCTATCATGGAGGAGTTGCTACTAGACAGCCTCTACCAAGTAGTTAATAGACAGCCTCTACCAAGTAGTTACTAGACATCGTCTACCAAGGAGTTTCTAGACAGCCTCTACCAAGTAGCTACTAGACAGCCTCTACCAAGTAGTTACTAGACAGCCTCTACCAAGTAGCTACTAGACATACTCTACCAAGTAGTTCCTAGACAGCCTCTACCAAGTAGTTAATAGACAGCCTCTACCAAGTAGTTACTAGACATCGTCTACCAAGGAGTTTCTAGACAGCCTCTACCAAGTAGCTACTAGACAGCCTCTACCAAGTAGTTACTAGACAGCCTCTACCAAGTAGCTACTAGACATACTCTACCAAGTAGTTCCTAGACAGCCTCTACCAAGTAGTTAATAGACAGCCTCTACCAAGTAGTTACTAGACATCGTCTACCAAGGAGTTTCTAGACAGCCTCTACCAAGTAGCTACTAGACAGCCTCTACCAAGTAGTTACTAGACAGCCTCTACCAAGTAGCTACTAGACATACTCTACCAAGTAGTTACTAGACAGCCTCTACCAAGTAGTTTCTAGACAGCCTCTACCAAGAAGTTACTAGACAGCCTCTACCAAGTAGTTACTAGACAGTCTCTACCAAGTAGTTACTAGACAGCCTCTACCAAGTAGTTTCTAGACATCGTCTACCAAGGAGTTTCTAGATAGCCTCTACCAAGTAGTTACTAGACAGCCTCTACCAAGTAGTTCCTAGACAGCCTCTACCAAGTAGTTAATGGACAGCCTCTACCAAGTAGTTACTAGACATCGTCTACCAAGGAGTTTCTAGACAGCCTCTACCAAGTAGTTACTAGACAGCCTCTACCAAGTAGTTAATGGACAATCTCTACCAAGTAGTTACTAGACATCGTCTACCAAGGAGTTTCTAGACAGCCTCTACCAAGTAGTTACTAGACAGCCTCTACCAAGTAGTTAATAGACAGCCTCTACCAAGTAGTTACTAGACAGCCTCTACCAAGTAGTTACTAGACAGCCTCTACCAAGTAGTTAATATACATCATCTACCAAGTAGTTACTAGACAGCCTCTACCAAGTAGTTTCTAGACAGACTCTACCAAGTAGTTACTAGACAGCCTCTAACAAGTAGTTTCTATACAGGCACTACCAAGTAGACAGCCTCTACCAAATACAGGCACTACCAAGTAGTTTCTAGACTGTCTCTACCAAGCAGCTACTAGACAGCCTCTACCAAGTAGCTACTAGATAGCCTCTACCAAGTAGCTCATAGACAGCCTCTACCAAAGAATTACTAGACAGAATCTACCAAGTAATTTCTATACAGGCACTACCAAGTAGTTTCTAGACAGCCTCTACCAAATAGTTTCTGTACAGGCACTACCAAGTAGTTTCTAGACTGTCTCTACCAAGCAGCTACTAGACAGCCTCTACCAAGTAGCTACTAGATAGCCTCTACCAAGTAGCTCATAGACAGCCTCTACCAAAGAATTACTAGACAGAATCTACCAAGTAATTTCTATACAGGCACTACCAAGTAGTTTCTAGACAGCCTCTACCAAGCAGCTACTTTTTGGTTGTGGGTTCGTTTCCCACGGGGGGGCAGTATGAAAAATGTATGCACTCACTAACTGTAAGTCGCTCTGGATAAGAGCGTCTGCTAAATGACTAAAATGTAAAAATGTAAATGTAAATAAACACTTCTGACTCTCTGTGGTCACTAAAGATCCCATGGTGAGGGGGGGGGGGGGGGGGGGGGGGGGGGGGGGTGCTTGTGCATCCTACTCCAAAGATCTCAAGTCTTAGAGCTTCACTACCTACTCTCTCTTATATACAGTGGGGAAAAAATGTATTTAGTCAGCCACCAATTGTGCAAGTTCTCCCACTTAAAAAGATGAGAGAGGCCTGTAATTTTCATCATAGGTACACGTCAACTATGACAGGCAAAATGAGAAAAAAAATCCAGAAAATCACATTGTAGGATTTTTAATGAATTTATTTGCAAATTATGGTGGAAAATAAGTAATAAGTATTTGGTCAATAACAAACGTTTCTCAATACTTTGTTATATACCCTTTGTTGGCAATGACACAGGTCAAACGTTTTCTGTAAGTCTTCACAAGGTTTTCACACACTGTTGCTGGTATTTTGGCCCATTCCTCCATGCAGATCTCCTCTAGAGCAGTGATGTTTTGGGGCTGTCGCTGGGTAACATGGACTTTCAACTCCCTCCAAAGATTTTCTATGGGGTTGAGATCTGGAGACTGGCTAGGCCACTCCAGGACCTTGAAATGCTTCTTACGAAGCCACTCCTTCGTTGCCCGGGCGGTGTGTTTGGGATCATTGTCATGCTGAAAGACCCAGCCACGTTTAATCTTCAATGCCCTTGCTGATGGAAGGAGGTTTTCACTCAAAATCTCACGATACATGGCCCCATTCATTCTTTCCTTTACACGGATCAGTCGTCCTGGTCCCTTTGCAGAAAAACAGCCCCAAAGCATGATGTTTCCACCCCCATGCTTCACAGTAGGTATGGTGTTCTTTGGATGCAACTCAGCATTCTTTGTCCTGCAAACACGACGAGTTGAGTTTTTACCAAAAAGTTCTATTTTGGTTTCATCTGACCATATGACATTCTCCCAATCCTCTTCTGGATCATCCAAATGCACTCTAGCAAACTTCAGACGGGCCTGGACATGTACTGGCTTAAGCAGGGGGACACATCTGGCACTGCAGGATTTGAGTCCCTGGCGGCGTAGTGTGTTACTGATGGTAGGCTTTGTTACTTTGGTCCCAGCTCTCTGCAGGTCATTCACTAGGTCCCCCCGTGTGGTTCTGGGATTTTTGCTCACCGTTCTTGTGATCATTTTGACCCCACGGGGTGAGATCTTGCGTGGAGTCCCAGATCGAGGGAGATTATCAGTGGTCTTGTATGTCTTCCATTTCCTAATAATTGCTCCCACAGTTGATTTCTTCAAACCAAGCTGCTTACCTATTGTAGATTCAGTCTTCCCAGCCTGGTGCAGGTCTACAATTTTGTTTCTGGTGTCCTTTGAAAGCTCTTTGGTCTTGGCCATAGTAGAGTTTGGAGTGTGACTGTTTGAGGTTGTGGACAGGTGTCTTTTATACTGATAACAAGTTCAAACAGGTGCCATTAATACAGGTAACGAATGGAGGACAGAGGAGCCTCTTAAAGAAGAAGTTACAGGTCTGTGAGAGCCAGAAATCTTGGTTGTTTGTACGTGACCAAATACTTATTTTTCACCATAATTTGCAAATAAATTCATTAAAAATCCTACAATGTGATTTTCTGGATTTTGTTTTCTAAATTTGTCTGTCATAGTTGACGTGTACCTATGATGAAAATTACAGGCCTCTCTCATCTTTTTAAGTGGGAGAACTTGCACAATTGGTGGCTGACTAAATACTTTTTTCCCCCACTGTACCTTCTGTCTTCCCCATCTCATCTCTTTCCTACATATAACTCTCCTAACTGTTCTCTCAGAGGAGAATGCATGAGAATGTTCAGGCTATAGCTAGCCTGGCA